GCAACCTACAGTAAGTGGCCCCACACCTGCACTCGTACCCCAATAGCCCTACCCTTTTGTTACAGACTCCACATCTCTTTCTCTCCGCATGAACCGGAGTCGCCGGTTTATTCAAGATTTCGGTTTTCGTAACATCATCCGGTTCCCGCTTGTCAATAACCGCCGTCTCTGTTTTGGCCATCAAGTCTTTGAGGTGGGCCGTGTAGCACTTGGAACACAGGCCCTTGTTCTCCGCCGTGCCGTAGAATCCGCAGCCGCCGGAGCACGGGCGGGGAGCTTCAGGCTGTGGCGGCCGGCCGCCGCCCAAGGTCCCGCCAGCGTGATTTATGGAAGTATAACTCATTCTTTTCGCTACTTTTTTGTACGATTATTGTTGAAGTTTTGATTTTTATTTATGCGAAATTATGGGGAAACTCGTATATTTATAGAGAGGATAATATTTGGTATCTGCAACTGGAATCGGACAAGGAAAGTAAAAATCGGTCGGTTATTAGCGCTAATTTTGGTAGAAATCGGATCAGTTGAGGAGATGTGATAATATTATAATTATAATCTTTCTAGTAAGCCCATTAATGTAACTTGTCCTCTACTCTATACTTGGTTTTTGTTCTGGAATATTCTACCCGTGATTTCCTAACTTTTAGCCAATTTTGCAATATATTATTACGTAATTAAAAATAAATTACAACTAAGCATGGTTTTTAAACTCGGCCCGGAAATTGACCCGGACATGTCTCTGGTTACCGGGTCACCGGTGCAAGCGTCGGGTCACCGAGTCAATTGCTGAACTGAATAGTTAAGTTTAATTTTTTTAAAATTATATATATAGTATTTTTGACATGTAAATATACATAAAAGTAACAAAAATAAATATTTTGTATATAATATTTGCACATCAAAATGTTAAAAAGAATTCTATCTCACAATAAATATTTATAATATCAATATATTTACATTGTTTTTATTTTTTATATAAATAATACTAAAAAAATAAAAAAAAATATATAGTGACCGGTTGACCCGGCCGGGTCAATGACCCCGGTCAACCGGGTCAAGGTCGGGTTGGTCGGGTTTTGACCAGGTTTGACCGAGTCCGTTGTTACCCGGTCCAAATAACCCACCCGAACCGGTCCAGCTCCAAGTCGACCAGGTCCCGAGTCGACCTGCCAGACCGGTATGGGTTTGAAAACAAGTGCATCTAAGTATGTTATATATTAGGGAAAAAATATTTTTTACTCCAAATATATCACCTTTTTTTCTTTGTACTCGAGGTTCTGGCTTAATTAGTTTTGGTCACTAAGGGTTTGATTGTTTATGGAATAATTTGTTTAAAATAAATTATTTTGGTTAATCATAGTTAATTTGAAAAAGGTGTATGGTTAGTTGTTAGTAAAATTTTAAAAATGTATTAAAATAATATTTTAAATAAAATAATTAAAATTAATTTGATATAAAAGTAAGAGATAAATGATTGGAAATGATTAGAAATTATAGGTAGTTAAAATTATGTGAATGGATGAATAGTGAATTAAAGTTGATGTGATGTGTAAGAATGATTGGTTTGCATTATTTAATTATATGAATAATATTAAAGATAGTAGAATTAAGTTAAAGTTGAGTTAAATTTTGAGTTGAAATAAAAGTGAGTAAAATATTTGGTAAACAATCAAACTCTAAAATTTTCAAAACTAATTGTTTGTGGCCCCCTAAAAAAAATAGTTGAATTTTACAGTGTTGCCGCCGCAACTTTCGTGACGAATTTCAACCATATACCAATTTAAAGATCTTGGCTCACTCTATACAACTACATTTTTTTATTTTATCATACAATATCTCGAAGTTCGTCAAAATCGTAGTTAAATATTCAATACTTTTTTAGACGAAATAGGATTTAAAGTTTGACCGAGTTCTTACACCATTGGATTTCTCAAAACTTAAGTTTTCTGTACGTAAAGAATAAGATTGGCTCCAAAAAGAAATGAGGAACTGAAGAATCTTTACAGGAGTTTGTATATAAGTATCCGCAAAAACTCAATTAAAGGTTGTTGCAACAATAGTAGATCTTAAATAGGATCGGGATATAGTATTGACTAGACTATGAGTTTGAGTTGTGTAAGTCCAAGCAGTATTTTTCGTGCACAAATCAATCTATTAATGAAAGAATTGTGAGAAGTAATAAGACGCTCCCAAATAAATCTTAACTTTATACGCTTTCACTTTAATTCTGATGTACGAATACACCTTGCATGCTTTATTTTCTCTCACTACCTACTTTTCAATTATTCCCAATCCAAATTTCCTTAAGATAAGAATTTATTATATTGTTTTTCTAATATTTTACTTTTTTTTTTTTCCATACATTAGTTATTTCTTGTATTTATTTTACTCTCATTATTCTCTTTTTATTCTTTAAGGTTTCATATACAATATAATTGAAATAATAGTCTAAACGCCAAATAATTAAAAACAACTAACACAACCTAAACGCAGCTTAATACTAGGGGAATTTTTTTAGATATTTTGTAATTTAAATTTTATTCATAATAAACTAATAACTATAAACAATAACAACTGAGAATCCCGTAGAATTATTTAGGGTTTGATTGTTTATGAAATAATTTGTGCAAATTGAGTTATTTTGGTTAACTATAGTTAATTTTGAAAAATGTGGTATGGTTAGTTGTAGTGAAATTTTAAGAATGTATTAAAATAATATTTAAAATAAAATAATTAAAATTGATTTGACGTAAAAGTAAGAGATAAATGATTGGAAATAATTGGTAGTTAAAATTATGTGAGTGGATGAATAGTGAATTAAAGTTGATGTGATGTGTAAGCATGATTGGTTTGTATTATTTAATTATATGAATAATATTAAATATAGTGAAGTTGAGTTAAAGTTGAGTTAGATTTTGAGTTGAAATAAAAGTGAATAAATTATTTTGTAAACAATCACCCCAAGACGTGAACGTACAGCGAGTAGATCCAAGAGCACCACCCGGAAATTAGTTAAATCTCCACTGAGACATGAATCTCCAAACACAAGAGGCAGCTTTAAGGGTTTTAAGGTTTAAAAAATGAGAGATGTTATGGTCCCGTTACGGAATCATTTCGTTGGGTTTGTAATCGTTAGATCATCATGTAACCGTCGGGAATAGAAGATTTAACGGTTACAAATTTCAACGGAATGATTCTATAACGGGACCGTAACATTTTCCTTAAAAATATCACGTGTGCATAGAAAGTCCTCAACTGGACTGGTCAAACACCATTAAGGAAAACAAAAATAGAAAAAAATCCCAAGTCATCCAAACCAGGTATTAGGTACGCCTAATTCTCAAAACAAATGGGTCTGTTACCATAGCACAAGGAATTTAGTTGACAATCCACGAGTGAGACTCAACTTCACCTCCTACATACACATA